AATTAAATAGTTGATAAAATTAAAATTAATTTTTATTTTTTTATAAAAATTAATTAAAAATATAATTAATACATTTATAATACTCTCAAGACACATATTAAAAGACTCCATTTTTGTAAATAAAAATATAATTAATACACCTCTAATAAGAATTAATACAACAATTGTATAAAGAGGTGTCAAACCATTTCAGTCATGCAATATGAAAGTTTTGTAAAAAACTGTTTAGAATTCAAAACTCAAGCCACTGAAATGATACCTCAATATATCTATTGCACCGTTAAATACTTCAAACAAGAATTGGATTGTTCCTTCTTTGATACGGGATTATCACATCATGCTACCACTAACCTTCCAAAAGCTAATAGTTACTCTGACTACATTAGCTTTTAATTAGTGATATTTCTAGAGTCAGAAAATTATAAGTGTGTGACAAATTAAGATTTACATATTATTACAAAAATCTTCTCTTTCATTTAATCTTTATATTTTCTTGAGGATAATATACACTAAACCTCATCTGTTCATTTTTAGCAAAGCTTATTTGACATTGAAAATTAAACATGTATAAAGCATTGATAGAGACATCAAGGCATTGATGAAGACTTGACAAAGACTTGAACCCCAAGGAAAAAAAAGAGGGTAAGAAGCCATTTAACAACGTGAACACCAAGGTGTTAACGACAACTTGGATCATAGTGCCATGACCAAGGCTCAATTAGGTTGTCATGTCCCAGAACCCAAATCCGAGAACGTGACAGACGTCGTGCACTCGTGAAAGAGTCCCACAAATGCACAAGGCTCGAAACTTACTGAGTTCTAAATTTTCGAATTGGATATTTCAAATCTAAAACTCAAGTCAAATCTAACTTTTCATTACCACAATTTACTATTCTAGATATACAAAGGTTTATAAACGGTCATGGCTATAACCGAGAAAACTCTATACACAAAAATGGTCATTTAGGTCACCCATAAGAGACTAGCGGCCTAACTCCAAAAGATCTAAGTCCAAAATAATGTCTAGCTGTCTAGCTCGTCACTCCCCCGGCTCCCTATGTGTCGAGTATCACGACCTGAAATGGTGGACAAGGAAAACGAGGTGAGATAAAATATTTCAGTAAGTAAAATATGGATAGCCCGTGAGTAAAATATTAGCATGCCAAATAAACAGTTCAACATAACAAAACGTTCAATGCAGAAGAAAATTCAGTACTAATCTCATCTATAAGTCATGACCAGCGTTTAACACCCACTGACAGGCGTCGGAATTTACCAATGTGTTCGCCCATTGGCAGGCGTCGGAATTTGCCAATGTATTCACCCAGTGGCAGGCGTCAGAATAAACCGATCATATCATAAACATGTCCACATGTGCTAGCGTTACTCCCACTAGCGGGATCAAAAATCATGACTATATCAGAGACAAAACCATGCAGGATTTACAAAAAATTTGGAAATTCACAATCAATCTCAAATTCCATAAATAATCACAATTTTTATGTGAGCATGGATTTAACAGAAAAATCATAATTTACAAAAATCCTTAAATCATCAAAACAATTCAGTAAGTTCAAAGGGGCATGCTTTACTTTAGAAAAACAATGAAATTCTCATTTTCATTCCAATCACGCTCAATTCCAGAAAAACAAGGAAATTCTCAAAAAAATCATCCAATTTTCATTTCAGATGCTGATAAAATCAATTTAAAATCAATTTTACCTTGCCACCATCTCAAAAACAGTTTAAAATATGCTTTAAAATCAAAAAGTTTTACCATAATTTTACTTACCTCAAATCATACCGACCCGAACACTAATCCCAAGTGCTTGGGTGCAGGATAATCAAGTACCTAATCAAAATATTTCCAAAATTAATACCCATATAAAACGACATATTTAATCCTTTTTCCAATTTAGCCGGCAATTAGCTCCCATAATACCCTATTTATTTATTTATTCATTTTTCTATCCGAAATCAAGCACAAAATCAATTGTGCATTTATATATTTGCATAATACACATCAAATTTTCCCATTTACTCACGGGCAGCACATGGAGAGCATGGTTTGGCAAACCACAACTCACACACACGGGATTTTTCTCTCCAAAACATCACAACAACCTAATTAAACTAATTCCTACATGAATTTAGCAAAGAAAAATCATCTCACTTGCTGTCAGAATTCTCCCCTTTTTCAGCAGAAAATCCGAACAGCACAAGGGCAATTCAAGGCAGGAAATTCGAAGATCCAAGGCAACAATCAATTGATAAAATCCAAGCTTATGGAAGCTATCATCTTACCGGAATTTCTAGCAAGCAGAACCAGATCTGGCGGTATGGCAGGGGCGGGATTCACAAAGAACTAACACGAAATTGACAGAAATAAAAGCAATTAGAGTGAACCCAAGCCAATTTAGAGCTGAAGAGATGAATTCCATGGCTGATTCATACCAGAAAAGCCGAAAATTCACACCCACCCAGCAACAGGGAACTCACGGCAGAGGGAAGAGAGCAGATCTGAAAAATTCTGGGTTGAATAGGTGTTCTAGAACAAGAAAAGGAGGAGAATTCTCCAAGTTTTACCGGTGTTCCCGGCCGAAAAACTTGGGGGAAGAGGAAGAGCAGGACACGTGGGGGAAGACGAAAGAAAGAAAAGAAAAAAGAAAAAGAAAAAGGGGTCAGCCGATCCTTATCCAAATTATTTTTTTTAAACCCCTTGACTTTGGAAAGTTTTACTATTAAATTCATTAATAAGAATCTCTCACAACTAAGTCCCTAAAATTAGGGGATATTATATAGGTCTTTTGTCAATTTTGTGTGAAAACTTCTATCTGTTAATTAGATGAAATTAAAATAATAAGTGCAAAAAAATTAGAGGAGGTTATTTTCTTTTGAGTTGCATTGGTAAAGAGCCAAAAATTTGGGTTTTCTCTCAGTTCTTGATGGTCACAAACTTTTATATCTATGTAAAATTAAGGATTTTAAAAATGATTATGTTTTTTCACTTGATTCATAAAAAACTTAGGTGATTTATGACTCAATTTTTTTTTTTTTTTTTTTATGTTGGTTGCACAACAAGAGGCAACCTTCTCCAATCCCTTATTCCATCCCGATCGCATGCCATGCGACTTGAATTTAGAACCTCTTACTTCTAGTGAAAGGAGAATATCATTAAATTACTTAGATCGTTAGCCTATTTATGACTCATGGTTGGACTCAATTTAAAACAATAATGATGGCATAGATCTAAACCTTAATTTATCAAGAGACATTTATTTATAACCTTCTCATTCTTTGATATATAGAATGCATCCTTGGCCTTTTTTATTAATCATTTCAATTCATTCTAGGAAGATAAAAATATAAGAAATTAACAAGTACATAAAGTCTAGAATGGATTTCAGTAAAAAAAAAAAAGTGACAAGAAGTGGGAACCAAAACTTAAAGAAAGAGAACTATATTTGGTGGAAAATTATTTGTTCCAAAAAGTAGCAACATTAATGTTGGTCCTTTTATAAAGAAGGCCAAAATAACTTAAGAGTCTTTTACTCCTTCCCTGCAATTGCTTGCAAGTTTTCTCGTTTACATTTGCTTGACAACATTTATCAAGTAAATGTGGAAATTGACAAGCAATAAATATGATGCATGTATATGCCAATTTGTAATATAAGAGTGGAAGAATTTTAAAGTAGGAACCAATTTCTTGATAATTTAAGTCCATGAATGAAATAGATAGGTATAGAAAGATTTATATTTAATGGATGAATAAGAATCTCTTTCTTAAATTCTCCATAAAGCATTGATAGATATAGCACTTCCTAATCATAATAGTAGTTCATATATAAACATCATCCATTACAAACATGGTGTAGTCCATATTAATTGAAACTTTAAAAGGGAAAAAAAAAGCCGCTTTACAATTTGAACACAAGGGCATTGACGAAGACTTAAATCATAATACCATAACCAAGACTCAATCAAGTCTTTAAAGAAGTCATTTTATAATTTGAACACAAGGGCATTGATGAAGACTTGAATCATAATACCATGACCAAGAGTCAATAAATCTTTTATTAGTATAGAGTCTTTAAAAATATTAATTCTCACCATTCAATTAATTCTTGAACAGAAAAATTATAAGTTAATATTCTTAAATATAAAAAAATAAAAATTAATACATGATGGTGTCGACGGTAGCCAATTCTTATCAATATTCACTGGTTGTGACATGGAAGGGATTTGACTATGAGCTGCAGGGAATCTTGACCATATTCAGTAGTATTCATCTCTCAAATAACATGTTTGAGGGAGAAATTCCAGATGTTATTGGAAAGCTTAGT